TAAATTGGAACAAAGCACCCGCACTTGAGATTCTTTCATCATTCCCTTCTGACTCTGAAGATGAGGAGGAAGAAGATAGTGAGGAAGAGCCACCAATACAATCTGACCTTGACTTATATCCTGATCTAGAGGGCATCATAATAGAAGACTGCATTTCAAATCGACCATCGACAGGAATCATACATTGGATCACTCAAATGCATCGACGTTCTCGAGGTGTCGAACTAGGTACCTTTGGGCCACGAGTTCTGTCCAGTGCTTTCCAAGAACAGTCTATCTACTGGCAGAAGATGGCTACAGTGTACTTGAGTAAGGTGATCTTATCTGTTCACAAATTCATACTTGAAGCCCTTGGGACAGTTTGTCATGAAACTCGTATTCTCGACGGACTCCTATCTGGCCTAATGGGTGATCTCCTTGCTAGGTATAAGGATGGCATGAACCGAGCCATTCACTTGGTTCATATCGAGAGACATAAAAAGCCCTACACACTTAACCACTATTTCAACGAGAATTTACAGAAAGCACGGAACGATCGCATTAATAAAGCTCTGATAAAGAAGGCGTGGAATGATGTGAATACTGGGCAGCAAGTTATTAAACTTGACGATATTTCATCAGTGGTAAACAACCATAATAACACCGAGCATACAGCAGAAGAGATACACGACATTCTCGAGGCCTACTATAAGGTGGCACGCAAGCGTTTCGTCGATAACATCTACCACCAGGCCGTTGATCACTGCTTGCTTTCAGGCCCATCAAGTCCCCTGATTCTGTTTTGTGAACAGTGGGTGCTCGACCTGACTGATGAGAAGTTACAATTGATCGCGAGTGAGTCCCGCGCGACTCAAGAGAGGCGCCAAATGTTGCAAACCGCGCTGCAGGACTTGGCAGAAGCTATAGTGATTTTAGGGTAAAAACGGCAAAGTATATTTTAAAATGGAAAGATTCACATGGTATGAGTTTGTGTTCGTAGTGAATAAAACGAGAATACTATATATTACATACTGTTCTAAATTTCGATCCTAGGCAACAGTGAGGGCGACGAGTATTTTGCCCGTATGTGTTTTTTTTGGTGTTCTTTACCTTTGTGGCCTTGAGGCTGAAGCCTCTTTTTGACCCCTCAACCCTATCACAGTTCTAAATTTCAAAGAGAAGATGCAGGCACGCTACTCCTACTTCTACGACTCCGTCAGTCTGTTTACATCGCTGATTCCTGATCATGCCAGATTCCAATGGGTCCCGACGGAATTGCAATTTGAAAACTATCGATTCATCAACAAACGACTTTTCTTGGAGCGGGCCGCTCCAAACGCAAAGAATTAGGCATAGAGTTACAGAACAGTAGACTAGCTGCCTTATCTGGACTCTTGACGCTCTGTCCTGTTATAATTGACAGGCGCAAAGGGGCACGTCCTATTAATTAAACTTCTTGTCTCTCTTGGTCCTCCTTGTGTAATTTACCCTGCCTTATTTGGCGTTCGATCAAGATGGTTTTAATGACCTTTATGTGGTCAAGCATTATAGCTTAAGTACGGCTGCAGTGTTTCCAGCGGCAGGGACTAATATATTATCCATGGAGGTTAAAATATACAGCCTAGTCCATTTTCATCTATGTTCAAGGTAACGGCGTAACCAAAACTGTACTGTGACGACTCATAATATCACTACCCTTATCTCAAGCTGCATACACAATAGCCTTGTCGTCAGCTACATGGTGAGCTATATGATCAGTTGCCCACCATTAGCCCTCTGTGCCCGGACTGCCATACGTCCAAGTCTGCCTTGTTCACCTCAGCGGAATAACTGTTGTGTCTGCAACAGGTGAAGTTGGACTGTGGCACGGCCCCCAACGAACTTGATAACGACCAGACCGGACGGGGCTAAAACTTAAGTTCTCTGATTTTACAAAGGCATATATAGCGTTGCACTGCCGCGAGAGGCATAATAGAAGAGGTAAAAGATATAAGGTCAAGACGCGTCTACGCGCCTAAAGTTATTACAGCTAATTCAGAGCTAAGGTCATCCTCCTTTCATAATTCCTATGTTATGGTATGTAAGTAATGAAATATTAATCGAAATACCTTTATTAGCTATTATTAGCTATCCATATTTTTAGTCTTCTTTACTAAAGTTATCAAGCATATCCATATTAGACAAAGCTTTCTAAAGCCATCTTTCCTTATGCATATCCACAACTTCCTTACGGATATCTTCAACTAGCTCTGTCCTAAGATTCAATGCGTACATGGAATTTCTCAGAAGGCCAGAGGCAGCGCGCCTAGCAACGACTGACAGCGATAACTGTGCGGCCACTGGATCATACGACTTCCTATGGCTCTCTTCAGCAGACTACTGTATCTTAGTACAGCCCTTTGCCTCAGCCCAAGAGAAGAGTTCTAAGAAACCTTTATGTAATAGATAGCCTAGACAGTTAAAGGGGACAGGCAGAGTAAGACAACTGAATTTGATCTGGGATACTAGCCATTTTTCAAGCTTAATTTCTTTTCATCCTTTCAAACCAGGCTCATTTAGATGATGGTATGAAACTCTGAAGATTCTCCTCTTCATCTATCGAACGAATTGCCTATTAATGATAAGTCCTTGCAAGAATCACTTACAAGAAACATAAAACTAATTTTAACCCGAGACTTTATCCACTTCCCTCTTCTTTCTTTTTTGGCCTTGGTGACACTCGTCCATATGACGTTTCAAATTATCCTGTCTTGTGTATACCTTGCCGCATTCAAGGCATGGTCCTCCTATGGGAGGGTAATTGGTTTGCTCAGCCCACGACCTATGGTTGCTCCACACATGGCGCTTCATCTGCTTTTCTTCACTAGCGTCTCCCCAAGAACAGTCACTCTTGGGGCATGTCCTGTGTTGTGCCATATGCCGGCTGAAAACAGAGAATAGTATTCATCAGCATACATCCAATAATACCAGGAAAGAATCTCATTAAAGATCATGGTAAAAGAATGGCCACGTACTCGTGTTCTTCTTTGTTGGCAGCTTTATGTTTGCAACCTTTCCAATTACAAGCCAGGCGGGTTTTTCTTTCTACCAGGTCTGTTGACTTGTTGGAGAAATCATTTGTGTCGATTGAAGGGGGACTCGCCGGCCCAGAATGGTCTGCGGAAATATTGGATTGCGAGACTGTTGCATCGCCAGCAGGTTCAAACACCGTTTGCATCGTATCTTCAGCAATGACTGTGGGTCGCTGTTTGTTCGATTGCAAATCACCAATTGCTCATGCGTCATGGGATGGTGCAAGCAGCTGAAACAGCAGATGCTCTGGCGTCGTGGCCTGCATCAACAGACTTGGATCAATCGCGCCGTGGTCCTGATCAGAGGTTGCATTTGCGTAGTCAGGTAGAGCGTTTGCACGATGCGCCACAGAGTCTAGACACTGTGGTTCTTTGTATTGCCCTTGATCCTGTGCTGGTGCATTATCTCCGCTCAAAGGTGGATTTTGGGCACCATGGCGAAATGGATGGTTAGCATGGAAAGACATATCTTTCGCAAGTTTTGACTCGGAAATGGAAAGTCACGATGAACCAGGAGTATCTGTTCTCGATACAGCGGTAATCAAAAGCCTTTCATTTGCAACAATTAACGTTGAATGTCGGTCTATCAGGATAGATCTTGATGTGAGCAGGGAACCTTATGAACAGAAGTCCTAACAATACAAAGGTACATGCTGGAGGGCCGGGCATGTACACCCCTGCCGCATCTATGATGACATAACTGGCTTCCAGTCTCTCTCAGTAATGCCCCGTAACTGTCCCCGGCCTCCAACATGATTACAGTACCTAGCGTATGGAGGGGCTCAGGGTACCCATCTACAACCATATCGTTTTACAAGACCAAGGTTTACTGTCTACTGATATGAATATAACGTTATAAAACGGTACCCTAACTGGCGACAGCTATAAGCGCTTTGACAGAGTAGCAACCCTGCTGTCTCTAATTGACCCGGTCTAAGGTAAACCGATAGTATATAGCCTCGATATGCACCCCTATAAAAATGCGCGAAAAATGGAGAATCTTTACAAGAAATTCTTCGACTTATTTGCTCTAATCAGTTTAACCTCTGCCAAGAGCGGCGAGACAGCTTTAGCTGCATGTATGGAATAACGGCATCCTACAGGATCTGTCTTGCGACTTGCTTGCAGCCTTGGTTTACCTCAACAACTACTTCAACGTCTAAATGATATATTAGATGACCTTTCTGTCACTTCTTCCATAGGTATGCAACAAAGCTCGCTATATAAATTTCTACAGGATTATTGACAAGAATGGCACAGAACTCCCGATTCAGCAAAAAGAACATCAACTCCTACTCAAGATTGTTAATCTTAAACGTTTGAGAATCGAAAGCATCTTGCAGAGACTTCGCGATCTAAAAACTCAACGGTGCACTAAGGTAGTGATCGACAACCTGAGAAAAAATGCTGTCCTCTCTGGCGACCTCGAAAAAGCCGGCTTCGCGACATGGATGGAATGTCTTCCGGTTCTGATGTCTCTTAAACCCAACGCTGAATCTGCTGCGTTGGTTCATGACATCAACTGAGCATCACGGGCGAAATGGGTCTACTCTGGGCAACATGAGGCATCATTTTGCTAAGGTGAAGAAGAATAACCGGACTGGGTACATTGAAGACCGTTATTCAGAAGCTCACCAATATAGACCATAATAAGCTGATGTCCCAACTAGGCCAAATCTGGCTCACAGAGGACCCCGAGCTACAACTCAAACACGCTTGCCTATACCTAGTGTTATTAATAGAATTGTCTTAAAATGTCTACGTAGTATAAGATAAAGTTTATATAGAGTGGCATCAAGGAATACAGCTTACCCAATTAAGAGAGCTTATGTCAAGCCAATCAACACTAGGATCCCATCCTTGGGAAGAGGTATGGTCCTCTTTAGTATTCTGCATAGATACTTGGGCCCTGTGAATGTGAGATTTGATCCGTTTTAGATAAATGTAGCCTTACTGTATTGCTTGGACTGCAGAATAAGCTCTCTCACAGACAGGGCTAGATTTCCGCAGTGACTCAATGCGCAGGACAGCAGCATCAAACACTGCCGTGTGAAAGTCTGTGGTGCTCTCTTGTCCGGGTTTATCCATCAGACAAGCTGCTAAAGCAATCGCCCCTTGAAGTGCATTAAAGCTTGTCATACCATTCACTAGCCATCGGTATGGCCGAAGTGTAGGAAGCTCACACAGCTTCTCATAAGTTTCCAACAAGGCTATGCTCGATTCGGCATATCTCCTTCTGCTAGAAGGTAGAAACTGGGGAGATTGGGAATGATAGAAAGGTCGATGAATAAGGAGATAAAGCTGATGAGCGTAAGTCTCAAGTATGCACCAATATGCATACCCTGCCGTATCCAAAAAGGTGGCACACCCAGAAGGCAGAAATACTGAAGTCCACTGCTGTTGCTTGGTTCTGATTAGAGCATCAAAGTGGTTCATTGCAGCTTGGTCGAATGTAGAACTGTTAGAAAGACGAGAGCAGATCTGAGTAGATAGCTCAAAAAGATAAAGCTTGAAGATCATGACTGACATGCTGTTCGGATATGTCGATGGTTCTCCAACTGCATCCGCATGTATGTCAGAATCGTTGACTTCTGCGGGCATGGGAGAAGGAAGTGCAAGTAGGAACGAAGGATCAACGTCACGGAACAGAATGCCTTGGTAAGTATAGAGCATCCGAACCCCGGCCCAGCATCGGCAACGTCTCTGCTGCTCGATAAAGTTCTGATTTGAATGATTAATGACATTGCATCGCAACGCAATACCCATATTGAGGGCAACGCCTAAGAAAACCCAGGCGCGATCGACTCCTTCACTATGGCATATGCCATAAGTCATGATCAATAAGGCCTCAAGGGTGTTGAGATCGTGTCGCACCATGAATCGGGCTTCTGCAAGGCAAGCAAGAGAGGCGCCACGAAGGCGTCGATATAAAAGAGGCGGGTCGAAGGAGCTAACATCAGAATATGTCGGCTCGCACTCCCTGAGCACTGGGTCGCCGGGTTCCAATGTCTGGACACCCAAGGAGCAAAGGGTGAAGAGTAGCGCTAGCCAAGACAGTGAGGTTTGCGTGGGATCTTGGGTGAACTGGGCATATTGCTGCTGGAAGGTGGGTCCATGAAGGATATGAAACAACGGAGCTTGGTACGTAAAGTATCTGGAGACAAGAAATTCTTGAATAGTCTTGGGGGGCAAAAGGTCCAACAGCTCGCTCATTGACCTTTTCGGCCCAAAGGCGAAAGAAGCAAACGGGTCTATTTCTCGTCCAGGGGGGCAAGACTCGCGAGCAGAAGGAGGTCGCTCAAGGACCGCGTCCCAAGATACGACAGATGACAGAAGCTCGGCTGGAGGTGATTGCTGTGGGCGACTATCGCTCGAAGGCCGTCCAGCAATCGATGGTGCTGGGTGATGGGCGTCATCTTCCGTGTGTGCTGTTGTGGCAGCTACTACAAGTGGTGGTAGACAAGCCGAAGAATCACAGACCGGAGACAATGACTCAGCTGCTGAAGACGTGGTGTTGTTCGGGACTGCATGCCGACTTGGCCGGAAGGTGCATGCAGATTCGCGTTCCCGCCGTCTGCAAGCGGAGCAGGGTTGCCGTCGATCGCATCGGAGCTTACTGACTCTACAGGGCTCGCAGCTGAGCCGTTTCCGTGGCCGTTTGTGAGGCACGCCTTTACGCCCAGAGAACGATTGACTCGAGCAAACTTGGTTATGATCTGGCATGGCGAGTCTCGGACATTTGAGTTTAGCGGAGAACGAACGGGGAAATTAGCTTAGGGTGGCGTTGCGCTGGTTTATGAAAATGATTGTCGGGGATCAGCGGAGAAGCTGGAGTCCGGGGCTGATGTAGGTGGTGAGGAGCGGTAGAAAGATGCGGCCGATCGCTGAGCGTACTAGCGACTTGTGAGCCGAGACGTATCGGACATTTCGGAAAAGTTGCCACCCAATGGCTCGACCTGCTCTGCCTGATCTAGACGTATGTAATTTTGATCCAAGTTATCAGATCATAGCCTAGTCGCTTAGCAGCGGATTCTTTCTTTATCAGATCCAAGAGTCTCTCCAGATTTTACATAGTCTCAACTAGGCCCAAGTTCCAAAAAGAGAGCATCGGAGAATTCATCGGACATATTCGCAGTAACTCCATCAAACCCGAACTCATTCCGACAGCTGTCTACAAAAGAGAAGACAATCCTGATAACTGTATACTTCATGTTTTTCATACAACACAGGTGCAGCTTCTCGTTCTACAACGCTCCTCCATCCCACCGCTCGTTCTCATAACTCATAGTGCATCATTATGTCTCAAAACGACTGTATTTCGTCTCGCGGACTTGGGTTCTTGCCGGATGTCCCTAAGTTCTTCGATGTTCTCAACAACTTGTGGCATCCCGAGACTAACCAAGAAGGCATAGTCAACCTCGGGCTCGCTGAAAATGTAAGGCACCGTCTCTCTTGAAGCAGACATGAGCTAAGGATAAAGGCATTGCTGCAAACGGAACTTGTTTCGTTCATCAACTCACACGTATGACTTCGTAAAGATTGAAACACATGCATTGTATTTTCTAACATCCTTAGCTTCGTATCACCTCTCATGCATTGACATATGGAGATGGGTTTACTGGTTCAAAGCAACTGAAAGACGCTTTTTGCCTGTTGCTGAATAATTACTTCAACCCTAATATTATGGTTACCCCGTCGCATCTGGCCATTACGCCTGGCGTGGGTAACGCAATCGAGTGTTGTGCGTGGTCACTCTTCAACCCCAAAGACCAAGTTCTTATCGGAAGACCCTATTGGACGGCGTTCAACTACATATTTGGTATTCGGGCTGGGTAACTTAATCCCTATCTGCAAACACAACCATCTGCTAACCGAAGCAGAGTCCAAGTCCGTGAGGTTTCATTCAACGGCATTGATTCATTTTCTTTAGAAGCTGTCGAGGCGTATGAGAAGGAGTACATACGAGCACGAGAGGAAGGGAAGTGTGTGCAGGCAGTACTCTTATGCTCTCCTCACAACCCATTAGGTCTGTATCGTGAATGATCTAAATCCCACGGCCGGTGAGAGCTGACATACGATTGAGGTCGTTGCTATGCAAAAGATGTCTTGATAGCATATATGCGTCTTTGCGGTAAACTGAGGCTCCACCTTCTCGTCGACGAAATCTATGCCTTATCTGTGTTCGAGAACTCAGAGATGGATGACGCCGTTCCCTTCACTTCAGTACTTTCTTTGAATGCAGAAGGACTCATGGACCCAAGAAAGGTCCATGTGCAGTGGGGATTTAGCAAAGTGCTACATCTCACCCCTCTACAGCTTCACGAGTTAACATTACTGCAGGACTTTGGTGCTACTGGCTTACGCATCGGCTGCCTCATAAGCCAATCGAATCCGTTATTTCTCAAATCACTCGAGAGCTTTTCGTAAGTCTGCATTATACCTTGCGTGTACGTGACCTTTTTAATTAAATTACAGGCTTTTCAACTTCCCATCAAGCCTCGCTGATAACGCAGCGGTGTCGCTATTGATGGACAAAGACTTCACTGATAGCTATATATCATTGCATCGATCCCGTCTGTCGGAGAGTTATAGATATGTCACTGGGGTTTTACAGGCGAATGGCATACCGTACCTCAAGTCGAACGCATCTTTATTCTTAATGGTGAACCTGGCAGCGGCTACTCATCATGCCGCGAGTGATGATGACATCCTGGCACTACTTAGAGAGAGAAAGGTCTACATCACTTCGGCAAGTGGTTACAAAAGTGAAACATCTGGGTGGTTTCGTCTAGTCATCGCGCATCCCAAATATGTGTTGGATGAAGGATTGAAGAGGATGTGTCAAGCCTTGTCTGGAGACAATAGCGGGGTAGTCTTATAGAGAAGGCATAGGATATGGCTATAGCGATGAAAGCATAAAAATGACAATCTAGTAAATAACCGGTTGGTCAAGAATCAAGATATTCCTGTCGAGAAAACAAAGATTCTAACGCTTCTATTACACCCAGCATCGAGGCAGAAGCGGCAACAGCTCCGGAGAGACACAATTCAGCTGAATTCAATTATCATCCATACACAATCGTAATCTATTATCTCTACCGGCACAAAAGCTTGCAAGCGGATATGACCACTCTCGACACCCTGAAGCAAACCCTTAGGCAGATAATAAGGGCGACAGCATCGCACGCAACCCAGCCGTTATCCTACATGAGTACAGCGCCGATTTCGACATCTTGATGCAAGGCTCTGAATGGATGACATACCAGAACATCCTTGCCCCTCAACTCTCTTCGCTACTAGATCATCTGCTGAAGTGACCGCATGGTATCTCGGTGCTAGAAATTGGGCCCGACGTAAAGAGTGATGTTGGATACTTTCCCTATTATATCAGGCGTAAAATCAGGTAATATATTACATTCAAGCCTAACAAGTAATTTACAATGAAAATAGATGGTTGGTTTCAGCCTACCCGAGGAACAGAGCCTCCTCTGCCGTGCCTGGAAGCCCGCCACGATATTCACCAGATGCCATTCACGCTAGATAATGACAACAGAAAGACAGGGAGCGTTACTAGCATTGGGACAAGTGGCTGTGAGAAATTTGATGTCGTCTTATTGTGCCATAGCACGTACGGCATAAAGCCTGAATGCAGATTTATCGAACAGGCACTGAAATCACTTAACGAACGCCCAGAACCGGGACTAGTGGCATGTCATATCGTGATGGCAACTTGAATCTTGACGGCTTGTTGTGTCATTACATGGCGTCTTTCCCTACCGCGGTCGTTCGGGTAGCAACCGATGATGAGACTTCGGGCCGATTTGCTTCTTTCATCGCAGAGTTTGCCTTCGGAGATGCGAACATGGGAGAAGCTATCTAGGGCAAATAGCGTAAGCTATGCCACGCACTGGGCCGTTGTGAAAAAGCTCACCCCGGCCATCAGTTGTTCAGTTCGCCCAAGGGCAACTTTTACTAAACATGCAATTGCGTTGAAGTCAATTTCGATTTCATGCCGCTAATCGTTACGGAGGGTGGCTGCGATGCTGGAGACATTATCTGCAAGACTATAACGGTAGGCTTGACAGTACCCATGGGAGCCCGCCCAAGTGTAGGGTCAGGACTCTGGCTGCAGGGCGGCATTAGATATTTGGCCAGGTGCGTGCCTGGGCTTGCGTGTGACGCCGTCGTGGTGCTGTAATGGTTAGCGTGGCCTCTGGTCAAATACTATACGTCGGTCGCGTACCAAGCAAGTATCGATCGGCCAGTGCTATAAAGTCAGAAGATGAGAGCGATATATTACGTGGTGTCCGGCGCCGCAGATACGGACGTACTGGTAATTACCGGGATGAGAGATGAGGCACCGACTGCAACCTTAGCGCATTTGGTTCCGAACAGCAGATTGCTTGACATTCGCGTCACAGCTAGTGAAAAGACGCGATAAGCTTGCCAGAAGTGCCAGGTCAATGAAGATAATCTGCGTAATCATGATTACAAGAATGACGATCGTGGCAGCAATGGTAGTAATTGTAAGTCGAATTCAACAACATTGGACTACCGCCACAATCTTATCTTCAACAATGAAGCAACGGGAGACGACGGCGCCAGAAGGTTTGCGGATAAGTACCTGCTTCCCCTCCTCCACAAGCACCTGGAGCGACTAGCTACTATAGTGGTTCCTATGCCCAACTTCCCACGCCCAGGGATCAATTTCCGACATCTAATGAACATCGCCCAACTGCAGAGCGGCTTGGCTTTATGCACTTCTCCACTACAAACTCAGTTCAAAGGTGATTGGGTTAAAGTTAGAGCAGTGGCCTGTTGCGAAGCGGGAGGCTTCATGTATGCATCCGCGTTGGCCCAGCAAGTCACCGTCCCCATGGCGCAAATCCGCAAAGCCAGAAAGCTCCCCCCGCCCACCGTCTCTGTCAAAAAGCCTTCATCACATATTTCCGGCTCAGAATTTAATAATCTAGGAGGGAAGAGAATCGAGATAAGTCAAGATTTAATTCCTAGGGGCGCATTAGTAGTCGTAATAGATAATTATTACCGGAAAGACGCTCTATGCTGTGCTTTCACTTTTAGCTAAAGCATATACTAGTAATAAGAATATCAGCATTATGGTGGTAGCTGAATTTCCAGTTCACCACGGCCGGGAACTACTGTATCATCATGGCTTTGGTGATATCAGTATTTAGAGCCTTTTAGTTTTTAATGGGATCTTGCTAGGAGAAGAAATACGGTATCTCGAGATTTAGGTTTAGGTTGACGATTGAAACTTCATCTATCAACTGCCTCTGCGATCAAGAAGGACCATAGCGAAAGAGATCTTCAAGTCCTATAGTGGAAGTAGGCTACATTCGACTAACTGTTCGGTACCACGAACTCGTAAAGATCATAGGCAAGAAACTTCGGATTGATCTCACAGTAAAGAGCGTGGGTGACGTATCAAAGCTAAAGTTGGTGTTCCCAAGCGTGAGTATCGTGCACGCATATCGTCGATCCAACTGGGACAAATCAGTCGCTGGGGGTGGATTATATGGAAACAGGTCGGGCATAAACAGGGGTACACGGCAATTGGGAATAAAAGAGCAGGAAACCCATATATTCTGAGATAAACAAGAGGTTCAACATTATTGATGTGATTCCATTCTGCTATAGAACCTCTGCTGCCAAGAAATCGAGACTGGTTCAACGATCACAATCATATATGTGCCAGAACGCGGGGATTATGAGTCTGGTCATCTTTACTTGTATCTGTGGCCATTGTTCTCTGTCACCCAATGAGCGCAAAATGAGTGACCGAAGTTTGATTGAGATCCAGGCACTTTATCATTCCATCGATGATGGATCGGCGGTATTTCAGGCGCCGCCCAAGATGCTCCAGCGCGTACAGAGGCTATTACCTGCTTGTATATGAGGGCATCAATGATGCGACCGTCCAACATGTCCAACTACCAGCCAACCAGTCTCTAGTATGAGAGGAGACTCATGTATCTGAACTTTGATAAGGGTGTTCCGGCAGGGATGGGGATCCATCTCGGGCTCCGTGGAGCATGGAATATGCATGTCAGCGTCCGGGACAATAGCAGGATCACAGCATTAATAATCCGCTGACAAATCAAAGCATCCGAGAAACCATATGTCAGCTTTGTGCCGTCTATGATATATTGAGGGTCGCTTATTTGTATCTAAAAGTCGTGTTTTGGATATCATCGCAACTCTATCTTTCTTCAACCTCCATCCAGCACCATGCACTACGCACCTGCATCCATTCTCCCTGCTCTCCTCCTTGCGGGCACCCTTTCTAAATGTTTTCCTTCCCAGCCAAAGGTCCGGGAAATTGTCGAGATTCCCGGCGTCCGGATAGAGAATGTTGCTTCTCGATCGAATGGTAACCTGTTACTTAGCACAATGGGGGAAGGCAAACTCTACTCAGTTAATCCATATAAAAGCCCTCCTGAACCGGAGATGATTGCTCAGATTGAGGGCGTCAATAGTCTGTTTGGCATTACCGAAATCGGCGACGATGTCTTTACTCTGGCTGCAGGCAATGACACCGGACAACAATTCCAAAACAACAGCATGAAACTTTCGATACTCAAGTTCAACCATGGCCAGCTGTCTGTTGATACCGTTTTTGAGGAGTCCAAATATGGCCCTGTTAATGGCATCGTGGCACTTCCCTATTACAAGCATATCATCCTTGGTGCTGACTCTGTACGAGGAGAGATTTTGCGCATAGATACAACTACTGGCAAAATCAGAGTGGCTATTCAGGATAAGGAGTTTACCCCCGGTGTCGATGGCCCCTATGGTCTTGGAGTCAACGGCATTAAGATCTATAAAAACCACCTGTATTTCGCTAATACTGATCGCCAGACCTTTGGCCGAATGAAGATTGATAAGCTTGGAAAAAAGGTCGGAGACGTTGAGATTATCTACAGGGTTGAGAAGGGATCTCCCTCCATACCTGATGACTTTACTATTGATCGGAATGGTAATGTATACGTTGGCATTTGGCAAGACAAGCTGATTAAGATCACACTTGACGGCGAAGCTACAGTCCTCTCCGAGGGACTTCTTGCTGGACCTACTAGTGTGACCCTAAGCAGAGATGGCAAGAGTGTTTTTGTTGTCACAGCTGGAATGAACAACGATAATGTATCCGGTGGCCAGGTGGTCCAGGTTGGAATCTGAGATACAAAGACAAAACCTCCAAGTAACGATGTTATTCACTTCGGAAACGAGTTACTTAAATAGAGCGTCTAAAATTTATATCCTTAATCTGCAGTGCTTATTATAATCTTCCTAGATAAATAACCTAATTTAGTAGGGAGTTTATTAGTTAACATTAATAAAACCCTACTTCTTATATATACTATATTTAAGCGCGCTGTTCGTTCCCGATCCACGCGCGGGAGCCACAATCATCTTGACCGCGGATATAATGCCATGGGCGCCAAACGCTGTGGGCTGTATTGAAGTGCTGTACGGATCGTGCCAAGTTATGTTTCTATTTTGCATTCACCGCCAGGTATGATCATAAATTTACGACGCGATGACGCCGCTGAAAGATGCGTTAGTAGCTGTCTTCAAGCGCAGAACAACTGCCCGCTAGCCAATTGAGACATCTAGCTGTTCTCCTACCATCTATACCTCTTTTGCTCTCGAGACCCACTGAAGCCCACTGAAGCCCACTGAGGGCGCCATAACTTATCGCGAGAGCAAGTAACTAATCGTATGGGGTCAGGTGCAAAGGACTCAACACACCAACATCAGATACGGTGGAGCGTATATTGACTATCAGGCACTAGAGCGCGAACAGAGCGCCGTAGCCGGCTATCATTGGTACTAGAGTGAGGCCTCGAACAAGGAAACTAATTGGAGTCTGTGTTGATAACCGAAGCTTGAGGCTGGGGTTTGGTGTCACTTATTGGTGCTGCTGTAAATGACCTCGCTCAAGTTCAGGCAAGTCTGAGCTCTGATTCAAAGAGGGAGCAGATTGCCAAGCCTGTCTCACGGGTATCGACGAAGACTTTGGTGGTGCTGGCTTGACAAGGGCGATGGGCGCCGTTCTTTGGAGGAACCTTGGATATTGGTTTATATTGCCACAATCACGGTACATCCAAGGGTTATAACTTCTGGCATCAGGTTTAAGGGACATCTATTAGCTAGCATCTGTCCAAGATGTAATCAATCCAGAATACATCTATCTCCAACCGCTACATGCCACTTTCTCGGTCTAGAACTCTAGAACTCCATCCTTTACATGTCCAACGTCTACAAGACATCGTGATCCAGAACTGCCACACAAGACATCACCATATCCAGATCCAGTAGCATCCCCAATACTCGGTATCCAAGCTCTAGTCTCTTCTTCGCTTAGAGCGGCGCTTTGCGACAGGGAGGTTCTCGCCAGTGTTGGTGGGCGCGGGTCGCTTTGGTGGCCCTGCGCGTGTCGCGACATTGGGGCGGCCCTTGATGTCTTTGTCGACAGTACGAGAGAAAGGGGTGTCGTCGTTCTTAGCCTTCTTTCGCTGCGCTTCCTCCTGATCAGCAAAGATTTTCTCATCCTCGGACGCGAGCTCTTCTTCTGGTGAGCTGGAAATTGGTTCCTTGATCTTGACCGGGATGCCGTTGATTTGGGCTTGCTGTTCGGCTCCGTGAGGTTTCTGCAAGTTCTCGAGCTGCATTTCCTCAATTTCCGCCACTGTGTTCATGAAGACACAAAGATCCTTGAACAGGATCGAAATCGACTTGTTGTCCACGCCTTCGCGTAGGCTCTGGTCAGCGGTCATCTCGTGGAGAGAAAGGACAAGTTCGCAGTCCTGGTTGAGCGGCTCACCGTCGGCCGAACGGAAGGGCTATAGAGGACCGGTTAGTCTGCAATGATATTGATTCGGGGATACAAGAGAACTCACAACTTCCTTAAGGACCTGCTCAACTTCAAGCCAGTAGGCGCTTCTACCTTCCTCAAGAGTATACTTGGCCTTCTAGACCGATACAGTTGATTGCTTGTGGCTGTTGAGGTCGAACCCGATGACAGTCTGAATCTTGCCCATTGACCCGCGGATGTAAGCCAGAGCAAGCTTCCTCAGTTGCTTCGCCGGCTGGGTGTAGGCAATTTCGACGACTATGCCGGAATACTCTGCCATTTTGTGGCAGTACTGGAGGTCTGGTGATTTCTGCTCTTTCTTTTCGGGGTCTTGGACAGGGAACGCGGGTCGCTTTGGGTTGTCTAGGTAGTTGCGGGCAGAGAGGACGGGTATGATGCTCTTGGCAAAGCGGGCAGTGGCGTTGTCTCCAGTCTTGAGAGGGAAGAGCTTGATTGCGATGGCTTCGCTGACCAGTCCGGCGAAGCTATCGTGGATTGGAGTCGTCATTCGGATCGTGATCTTGCCTTTGAAAGGGTCGTAATCGAATCGACGGATTGTCGCTTCAATTACCTCACGAGCACTCTTGAAATCTTCCCAGCTAAGTGGGAAAGACTTGTAGTAGTCTACTTCGAGAGGTGAATCGTCAAGCTCACGCACGACTTCGACCAGGACTTTGGGCAGACTGCCAGCAGCAGCACGAGTGCGCTCAGCGGAGTCGGGAGGGGACGGGAGAGGAGCTTCGGTCGGAGAGACCTTGCGCGAGGCCGTGGGGCACTTGTCGAGGGATGGCGCGCAAGGTTGGGAGGAGTCGGGGGATAATTTGACGTGTTCGGCCATGACTGCAGAGGGAGAAGAGAAGAGAGCGAAATGAAAATTGAGGTTGGAGGGGAATTTCTTTTGTTGTTGTTTTTTTGGTGGGTGGGGTGATGGCTGTGTTACCTCACCGCGTCATTCACCGTGAGACAGAGGGGTTGGTGGGGTCGGAAGCTCTTATCTTATCAGCGAATCCTCCACTGGCATACGCGAGGTCACGTGCTCTCGCGGCTTGGATGATGACTTGGGCAGTGAATGAAGGTTATGATGAGGATTTTAACGGTGGAGGTTGAGAATTGGTGGGTCTGGCTCGAGTGCAAGCGCTTGGATGGGGACTTGTGTAAGAACTGATAAGCAAGAGGCTTCTCTGTGAGGGAGGGAAATGAGAAAGCTACTTTGAATGTAGCTAATTGATTTTCCAACTGGTGTAGAACCCAAGAATAGTGTCTGCAGACCAGCATAGTAATCAGGATCTCACGGAAAGTTCTGGATCTGGGGTCAATAGTCCAAACATCATTTCTAAGTGATCTGGGACTAGTGATCTACAACAACACAACCCCGGGCCTTCTCAACTGTGCGCTACTCATGACATCTGACTCAATATAAAGAAGCTCGGCACTCAACCTAGCTCAACACTGCAGTCCGCTGATGAGTCTCTTTTGAAGTATACGGCTCTGATCAATATCCGTTGACCTCTGTGAGGCTTTCGTTTTAATGCCATGTTTTTGTTTAAGAAATTATGTAAACAATAGACTTCGGTAATGTCTGGCTGACACTGTCAGTATCCAGCATTAGCTTATAGATAATGCAATGCATTTAATTACTTCGAGGCTAACTTGTAGGAAATTGAACATCATGTTCAACCCCTCAAGAGCACAACGCCATTGCCTGTCGAAAGGGTGGCTTAATGCCCCGTGCTCTCGCACCTCACCTCTCATGGTGTAGGTAAAGAAACCCAGTGACTGACATAGAGATAAAAGCCTACATGCCAATTCCGTAGACCTAAGTGAGATGGGATGCAATTGACAAGGCCTCTAGTGGCTGCCTCAGTAAGACAGGGAGCAAGTCAACCTGTTGGTTTTGCAAATTCGTCAGCGTGTTGCATCCTGAACTGCAGTCCTGGCATCCTAACTTTGCCAGCTTCCAATACTTCCAAGCTGACAAGAGCTCTATAACTGACCGGTAGATGGGTTCAAGGTATGCTTCCAGAACATAATTGTCTTTTTTGTCGCAGTGTCTTACAGCAATGGAAATGTCATTGCTGGGAAATTTTATAAATGTAGAAAACAACTAGTATCTATATGCCAGCTACTGTATTATTATATCTTTAACATTGCAGATAATCAATAAGAATATTAATTATCAATTACTTTTAAGCATTGCAGATAATGCTTTCTGCCAACCTTGGTCTTAAAATAATGCAGATGTCAAGTAATAGGTGCAAGCTACCCTGAACCTACTTCAACCAAGCGAGATTTAGTGCTAAGATGAAATCAACAGGTCACGCGAATTGGGGCTTATCGATAGCTTATCAGCCTGCACTGATATGGCCATTAGCACCGCCAAGTCAATTAGGTCAATTTTCTTCAGGGTTATAATTAAAAGAAAAGTATACGTGCAGATCGAACCAATCCATAATAATTGCTTCCAGCATCAGAAACAATCTCATATCATGCAGGATGGTTGAGCGCTGATGTCAACAACGATGGTTCCAGAATTAAATGCGTGGGGCAGAGACCCCAGGTTAGCGCAGGAAACTGATACTCAACATCAATTGGGAAGATCGTGTTGCGTTAGGCAGAAAACCTACGACTCAAAAGGCGAATCAATGAAAACCCAGCAGAACGCAAAATGCCTTGCTAGGCTATTCCCATCACTTCAATTGACATCATGAGATCTCTCTCCCTGGACTGCGTGTCGGGTTTCCCGTACCCGCGCGGTACAGTCATGAGGAGCCCAGCTACTGGTTGAAAGCAATGTTGGCCACACAAATATCACCAAGGAGATATTTTGGTGCATGTGCGGGATCAGCCACGTCAACCTCCAGCGGCTTGTTTCAGTAGAAAGACAAATTTGCAGAATTGCATGGAGTGTTTGCGCCGGCGCGAGATGTGTTGGCTGAGACAATGTGAGTTTACCAACGAATCACATCCTCCACTTGGCATGATGGCGCCAACAAGGGTGCCGGAGCTGGCTGATCATCAGAAAGACACAGTACGTGAGAAGACATGCACTGCCATGTATCATTTGGTGGCAAGACTGGTCCTCTTTGACTGATCCACTATTTCCCTGTCTTGGTTTCCCACTCTTGCGCCTTTCGCGATGTATATTAGACCTGTTTCCGTGAATACAGTCCGAATACTCATTACGTTGCCAGTGACGATCGTAAAATGCGAATTTCGGAGCATTCAAGTCATCGCGACTTCAACATAGCCTTGCACACCGACATTTCCCTCACTGGCTCTCTCTCAATCTGCGACATGGTGTGTTACACAAGGCTCAAAACCAGGCTCTCGACCGAATACGAGATCTCGCGTCGACGGTTGCGTGTTTCTGGCACACAGGATCTGAGATATAAATGCCCTGACACAAGCATAGATCGAGTTGTGCAAGCACAGCGCCAACTTATCCAGATTCTGCAATGAGGAATGCAGTACCACGACGTAGTAGTTGAAGTCGCCAGTGGAGTTGAAACACTCCCAATTTACATACATGAAGGCAAGACACGGCAAATTCCTCTGATATCGATGGTTGAAACCCATGCCTTCTTGTAGGTAGCTTGTAGCCACTATAAGAAAAATCGCGGTTGGCAAAGCCCAGGTGAAAAAAATGAGTCTTTCGCGATTCAGGAGGAGCTGCACCGTGCAGTTCATCGGCGGCGCCAATGCTAGGCACAAGTAGGCAGCTACGGTGATACATCACCCATAAGATCGTGACGTTTGAGAGATTCGCACAACAATCAAAATGTCAAAGGCAGTGCCAAAGGTGCTGATCAATGTTTCAGCATTGTCTTAGAGTCACTCCGTCAACGACTCCATTTACCAACCTCGTGCATCCTGGTCTGCTGTACTCCCAAATAAGATCTCTACGGCAGCCTGGTTGTGCCTCCCGCAGCGAATCCTAGAGTAAAACACACCACTTTGCCTTAACTTTCATAACATGTAGCACAAGGCTGAGACAGACGTCCCGACCTGCCAGTGAGCCAAAGTGGGGTGATTATATCTCCGCGAAAAAGTAAAGCAAACTGTATCATCTCATGCAACACAGCCAAGCTAGCTTGCAGTGTAGCTGTTATGGGCTAGTTAAGTTGAGTTACCGAGATTGAAGGGTGATGCTGCCTTTTACGGGCATCATCAATATGGAAGAGAGTGCAGGATCAATCGCGGTAGCGTGCAGCCCAGTTCCCATGCAATTTGCGGTTCGTAAGCTGTGTGATGCCTGGCACCAGGAGGAAAAGAACTCGCCATGCTGCTTGTCAGCCCTGTGCTTCCAGGTCTTGCAAAGTTGTGATCCAGAGTTGGATCTTGCGAAAATCTCACAATGTCGCTCCCTATCACAAACTTACTCCCTCCTCCCTCTCCTCCACAAACTCCACCTGCGGTAACTCCTCCTCGTCATTTACTTGGCATCCCCGAAGAGTTGCAGGAGAAAATCTGGCGCCTCACCCTCCCCGAGTTCAGGATGCACCGAGTATTTATCGAGATCCAGTCCAGCTACGATGAGTGGTGCGAGCCCGAGCCTGGAGACCGGCCAGGTCTGGAAGGCCTCGAGCCGCTGTACCTGGAGCGACCTATCTACCGTTGGCGTCAGACCATTGAATCCCCACAGCCACCCGCTGGCCTCAGTGTATGCAGAGACAGTCGAAGAATCATGCTCTCATTCTTTCGCGAATTTCCGCGCCGGTGTATTCGACAGCTCGTTCAGAATGACGAAGGACAGAATCGCTTTCTGGACATCGATGCATCAGAGGGCAACTCGAATGTCGGTCTGTGCAACCCAGAAACAGACATGCTCTTCGTTGACGGGAGCTCTGCAATGTTTCCCCTCAACCTGCGCGACCTTCCTGTCATCGGTGTATCGGTCCAGGTTGAAGGAGTCGGAGGCGTAGGGCCTTCTCTGGCCTGTGACCATCTCGCACGGATCGTGGCCCCTCACTACACCCCTCGTCTGTCACACATCAACGCGGTGTTTGCCTGGCGAAAATGTATTCGCGTGTCTCATCAGCACTGCGACTTGACAGTGCCTGTCGGGAGACCCGTGGCCTGGACTGGGAGCGCTGGGCGCCTGGAGGCACACCTTATCCAGAATTGGGAGTTTCTCTACCACGCACACGACGATACTCGAATAACTACTGGAGAGCAATTCCACGATCAGGACGTGACGAGACTTGACGAAAACGATACCGATACTAACACGATGCTTGTTCTATCGACTATTCTAATGTCATGCGAATGCCCAAAGATGGTAGACGTCATGACAAAATGGGCAGCTACTGTTACGGAGGAGCAGATGGCTCAATACCACCCCAAGTGATGAGTAAGGAGGAAGCGAGAAGCTTGGTGTTGTTGGGTGATGCAATTGAGGTGGATGGCTAGAATGTTTTGTTTAAACCTCTACTGAACTAATAGTTAGGCTATTATTAATATTTAATATTAATTATTTATTAACTTAAGGCTAAACTTTGTTTATTTTAAATTTATTTATTAGTATTATTTTAATAAAATATTATCTAAAAGAATTAATTTATATATTATTTATTATTATTTATTATATAATTTTATTAAACTTAAATACTTATTTAATTAAAAATAATACTTAAATTAATTTTTTTAGCTATAATTATTAACTTAAAATACTTAAGTAATTTAAAAAAAAATATTAATTTTATTTATAGTTAAATAAAATATTAAATTAAAAATTAAATTAATATTACTTATAAATAAAATAATCTATAAATAAAAATTAATTAATTAATTTTAAATTTATATAATTAAATAACTTTAAGTAATTAGCTAAAATATTTTATTTATAATTAATAATAATAGGTAATTTTAAATAACTATCTTACTATTTATTTATATATATTTAATGCCTTTTAATATTATTATTTATAGGTTTCTTATTTTTAAAAACCTTAAGCTTTAGTAATTTAAATTTTTATTTAATAACCCTTAAAATAATTCCCTTATTACTTTTAAAGACTATCTATATTAATAAGCTATAAAGAAATCTCAAGATCTATAGTAATTCCTAGAAGAATTTTTCAGATTAATTATACTTATACTTTAGAAGCCTGTCTATAATCTCTATTAAAACTCGATGGCTAGCCCTTAATATCCTATCGCAACTAAGAAACTTGGCGATATTCGTATTAGCGACCTCCTCGGCTGGTACAGGGCATAGGTAGTTGAGGCTGGTAAGTAGTTTTCTATTGGCGTTAATCTTCCGAATCTGTATATTCACGTCCATGTCGTCGTGCTCGTCACACGATATTCATAACTTGACCACAGGATATCCAGAAACCTCTATATACTCGTGAAAACGAACGCTGAAGTCTGTGTAGTGAGTCGGATGATGCGCTTCATAACTTGTGTTTGATTCAGCTGCTGACTTCTCGAGTGACAACGTCAAAGTCGTAGCATCGAGGAAAAATGTGCGATACTCGGTTCCCGGGACCGGAAAAGCGACCTCCACGCGCTCCACGATAGTCTTTGCCGGACTGCCATCGAAGCCAAGAAGGGACAGTCGAAGCCTTGTGTCTGCTCCCAATCATTCGAGATTCCTTTGCAATACCTGTCGAAATACTTCTGGAGCTCGTCGTTATTCTTGCGATACACGTCGTGCCCTAAAGTCATCAGTCAGATGCGTCGTAAGTTCTTGAGGACAGCTTACATTCTTGCGTATGATGAGCCTGAAGCCACTTCTGAGTGGACTTTGCCTTGGAGAAAGTCCCAAACGATCCGTGAGAGTGAAGACAGGTGGACTAAAACGCCGTGAGATACATTGGTAGGTCAATACTTTTGACTGGAATGGCCTTGGTCGCCCAGTACTCGTCAAAGCGGTCGTTTCTCAACCTTGGCACCACCGTCTTCTGCTCCCCTATCACTAGTCATTATCTGATACAAGTTCTTTATGAATCTGCTACGGGGAATGCCACTTTGGGCTATAAAATTGTTACATCTGTCAGTCGCAGCCTCCCATGGCGCAATTGCCTTCAAAGCCGGATAAGGATTTCGAGCAGCCACATTAATCTGTGCGATAGTAAGCCAAGAGTTTCCAGCGGTACTAAAACATCCATTACACTATGGGTACTTGGAAACCCAGTCAATAAGGTTGTGCAAGTTGAAGGCTTCTTGATCTCCCTACTGGGCGATATCTCCTTTAGAGAACCTAGCGCCTCGAGCGTCAGGGTTGATGACGGCATAGCCTCTAGCACACCAATCGACTGGATCAGGAGCCTCGAACCTTTCGTTCCCGGAAGTTTGATCTTGCTTGAGACCACAGCGGAACGGTCCCAGGTAATCGTATGAGTGGCCCTCTGTATCAATGAGCTGTTTGTAATCCGCATGAATGTGTGAGATGAAAAGTATACTACTATCTTTTCCATAAGGGCTCGATGCTATAATCACAGGAACCTGGCCACCCGGATCACTTGAGCTCGCGGGCCGAAACGCATCAGAGTAGATGTTGATGCCGTCACGCATTAGTACTTCCACGTCCCTGGCGAAGACAGACTCCACGGTGAAGGGGCGCCGCCCTTCCGCTTCGACGTGGCCAATAGGGAAGTGAATTGTAGCGGGATTAAACCCAGTTGGTTTCCGAGGGGGGCAGAAGGCCAAGTCGGGGAATCGTGCTTTGAGTGCTTCCATGATTTTAAGCTTGAGGATGAAGTAAGCCGAACTGTCTCGAATTGTGATTATGTTTCTTATGCTAGTTAGATGCTTGAGTCTACTGTGAAGCATTTTCTGTAAAGGTTGGGTGCTCTGGTAATATAGGTATGTATAAACTCGTGGCGACATTCTTATCGCAATATCGTTCAGAGTCACCGGTCCTTTACGAGTCAGGCCGGTATGAACGGATGTCCGAGTGCGATGAAGTCATGTTTAGTCGGCGTCTCTCCACAATCCCGCTTAATGAGGCTGTAGCGCCTCGGTGATCAAGGAATCGGAGGTTGACTCTCGGCCTCGCTTTCTGACTTTCGCCGATAATGGCAGATGACATAAAGCGAACAGCCGGTACATTTTTACGCGTTCTTGGCAGGCTAAAAATACTTAGACCGGTAGGATGGTATTATAGGTAGGATCTGTCTATATCCAAACATGCAAGTATCCGAATATCCAACCGCCTCAATAAGGTCTGGCTTTTAAGTCCAAATATGAATGAATGTTTAGCTGTCAGTTTCAATTGGGTTTATAATAAACTATAGAGACTGCCATAATAGGTAGAGGCAATATATAGCAGGCAGTACAGACTGGTTGGCTTAGGTAGGGTATGTAGATTACATATATGAGACTTTAATATACCTTAATGCGATCTTATTTACGCACCTCCATGGAGCGCAAATAATGGCTGGTAGGTTCATAAAGAGACACATGGATTAGTTGAGAGTGCACTGACACAAACATCTATCGAGTCATGAGGCAACTGCAATTACGTCTTCGGCACATAATACTTACCATGGACACTGACGTCTCAGCCTTGTTCATGCTTGAGCTTCTTTACACAAGCGTTTTGGAGCAGCCAACAGGGATTTTCTAGGAGGTCGCACTAGTCTCATACTTTTACAGCGGGCGTCAGTAGACCGCCCTCTCCAATATAATTGATACACGATCTGGCGGAAATGCGACAAGAGTCCGCGGCAAGCCCACCAGCAAGAGGCTGTGTAGTATTCGTGGTGAGGACCTGAGGGCGTCCTCAATAGCCCCGGGTCAAATGCTGGTGTTACGTGATTGCGTCAACATAATCAACAGCAAAGGCTTCGACTGACAGCTTATTTTGAATCGGGCAGGTCTCCGGTGTACTCACGTTGTGAATTCTGAAGCATCAACAAGGGCGCAGCCATGTAATAAACAAGATTCAGCCTGAGACGCGCATGCAGCAATAGACGGAAGGGCATGGCCGTCGTATAGAGGGGTATTGCAAGTCGCCCTTAGGGTCAGAGGATACAGCATGCGTTAGGGAACATGTTCGTGGTTGCGCGAGCTCGAGTTCCAACTCGAAGCGAGCGTATCGGAACGCGGTTTCTCGGGTACATCGATCGGATCACCTCGTAGGGGAGACGTGGGCATAAGGAATACAGACGGTCGGTCTTCCGACAGTGTTGGTATCAATCGTTGTTGCGCCCGCTGGCCGGAAGACAACGCGTCGAGTCTCCAAGGCCATACGGTAGTCCTAATGGCGGTGCTCTCCTTCAAGAGACGACAGCTGGGCCCTCACTTGGAGACATGTACAGTGATTGAGGGAAGCTTCTAAATCGGCAACTTGTGGTATTGGCGACGAATGCGGGCAGAGCTCTTGACTCGTCGACGTATTCGATCGTATGGCATAGATTTCGCGAGCCGGCGAAATATTAGGTTGGAGGGAGGGAGCCGAATGAACATTCATCTTTCTGTTTATTGACAGAGGGAGAAGATATCGCGTCGCGATCGTGTGAGGATGGTCAAGCGAGCTTTTGAAGCCGCGTTGAAGTTTAGCATCACGGGAAATCAAAGGCGAAGCATGAAGACGCGGGCGGGGTATGCGATGGACACTTGGTACACTAATAAAGAATGAGAGGATCAGTACAATAGAAGGACATAAAAGAGATACTAGTAGAATAATAAATATAGGGGGATAGATGGCGAAAAAAAAGTAAAGCAAGGAAACGCGTTGAGAATAAACCAAGATGTCGCATTAGCTAGCAACCCGGAATCGCTGGTGAGGTAGGAATATGGTAGAAGGCTCATACTGAACATCACCTTGAATCCCCATCCTATCCCTGTAGGATGACAGAAGATGCGGGTTTACTGAACCAATCAGGTCCAAGTATTACAAACACATCGTGTCAGATGCAGCATCAGATGGCCCCGTTCAGCAAAGACAGGATACGTCAGAACCGAGAAGATTCAACCCTTGCACTAACGCTGACTTGCATACTATAAGGAAAGCAGGAACCTGTGCTGCGTCACTCTATAAGTGTGAACCTCGGTGTGAAAGGATATACTACAGATCCGCTAAGCCAGAGCCACCACCGTCAAACAGGTGAAGCGGCCCTTGAGAGAAAGATCTGTCGCCATTAAAAGGGGGTTCATATGGCATCATGACCTCGAGACTGATTTACCTGCAACGAACATCATGCCAGAACACGACTGGTCTATTAGGAACAGGAACGATATCTAGTAATGAGATAAGTTTAGATGATATCCCCCAGCGCGAAGAATTAAACTAAATATGACTATAGTAATTGAACACCAATCTCTTATATCCAGCTACCTGGAATAACTCTTGATTTCCTGAACCCTTCTTGACGTCCTGCCTTACGCCATTTGCGATTCTGCTTCCGCTCAAAACGATTCTCCATAAGCGCCACTTCACGTTTCAGCCAGTCGATATCTTCTTTGCTACCTTCGTGTAACGGATATTGTTGCAACGGATACCAAAATGGCCATCCGTCCGAGGCCTTCTCTTCGTAATGGACAAAATCCCAGATCTGCCCTTTCTTCCAGGCTTGATACTGTTTGATGCATTTCCCTGTAGTCATATAACAACTAAAGAATGTAACTGGAGTCATAAAGTGTTGGAACTCGTTCAACAAATTCCTGGTAGAGCACTCGTTTTCTGCTGTCTGAACCCAACATGGAAGTTGCCTACCTCTCGACTCCACCATAGTCAGGACTCGTCTGTAATTCGAGGTAGAAGAGTCCATCTTGATCCAAGGTGGGTCTTCCTCCCAAGTCGCAAAGCAAAACTCAGTTTCGAACCTGACATGATCATCCGTGTTGACACCGGCTAGTTCCAGCATGTCTATCCAGTAATGCATTTGGGTCAGAATGGAGCTACTATCATTATGATAATGTAGTATTCCTACAAAAACACCATCCAACCTTGGCAGTGAAGGGCGCTGATGGACATTCAAGCCTCGAGAGATAGCGTCAGCCACTAAAGCTGCCCATCCCTTCACATGTCCGATTTTGAGACGCTTGAAATGATCTTTGATGTATTCCCAAACAGCGTCATTGAAAGGTTCCCAATCGTTGACGAAATATTGTCGACAGGCTTCTATACATAGCCTCGTATTGGAAGGTATTCGAAATGCTGTTAAAATCTGGCCAAACTCTCCAGGAGTAATGAAATCTTTCCGTAGGTTGATATATTCAATGACTTGTGTCGCATCTTCAGCACGATTCAGTAAGTAGCTAAAAGATGGACTGCACAGATGAGACCTAGAAAGTCAGTACTCATCTCAAAAGAACAGCATCGTCCTCCTATTTACCTAGTAAAAATGTCTGAAGTTTGATTCGTGAGAAACTCAAGGAGACGGCTCGCTCTTGTGAGGACCGCTAACTGCTTACGTATCAGAAGGCCGATCGTTTGACAACTGAAAGGGGATCTTACACCTAATAGGGATGTTTCTTTATCTGGATTGTAATCAAAAGTCGATAAAATCGTAGCAGGGGTAAGTATGCCCTCTCTAAAGAGCTCTTGAACCTTTTCAAGGTTGTCTTTCAAGAATGCCTGTTCAATCCCTCTCTCGAATAGACTTCCTTTATTACAGACAGAAATAACGCGAGGGAGTTGAAATGAGAAGGCGGAGGGGGAAAGCGCTCCTTGTCGCATTGAGAATTTCACATGCCAGTCCAACAACGATATGCCCAAGGTGACGGTGGAGTCGTTCTGGATTATAGAAAATTCGGGGCTTGTTAGTATGGTGCTCTTGGTCTGTTCTTTTGTCCTCTGAACGAAGGCCACTCCCTCCCAGCATTGCCTCCAAGTCTCGGTAGTAACCTGGGACCTATGCCTCCTAGAGCAAAGCAATCGAGACGACTCGAGAGCCGCCTCCGAAGATGTTCTTGCAGATGTCTTTGCCAAACCTGTTGTAGCGAAGGACGGTCCTACTATCTTCCGAGGTGTTCTTATCCTCGTTGCCCTATATCGTCAATATATACTTCACTTGGGCCAAGATTTTCCTTACAAAGTCACTGATGTTATCTGCAACTGAAGCAAAGAGAGTAAACCATCCAGCTCATCAGTGCAATCCTGTACCTGGTCCCTGTAACGCAAAAGCCGGGAGCCAATAGTTTTGAGCGGGTTCCGGCTTGGCTTCTGCTTGGCATAAATGACAACAAGAATCCGGTGAATGCACGACGCTTTCTCATAGCAGGCGGAGATTATGCGGTATAGACTGCTGAAAAGAGTTTTCGCAGAAGGTTCTCCGGATTGACAATCATCCTCAAGCCCTGGAAGAAGTTCATTGAGACAAGTACAAATGGTTTCGATATAATCGAGCTTGTTTAGAAGACTCTTTAGCTGCGTTTCTGCTGATTTATAAACTGTAGCCAGGTCTCTGATTGACTTTGCCGTTTGTACTAGTTGTATTACTAGCGGAATGACGCCTATGGCTAATGAAGCTGGATCCATTTTCGATTATAGAATAATTTCTAAAATTTGAAAGAAAAAGGGTTATTAGAGGAGAAAGACGAACTGCCTGATTTTAAGGACCAGCCTGCATGTAATGACTTTGAAAGCATGGTAGTGTGTCGTGTTTTTATTGGATGTTCCCCACTATAGTGGTTTGTTTGTCATATTTTTGTGATTGACTAGCAAGTACCAACCAATGGTGCAGAAAAAAGCCTTGAGGCTGTACAGGAAGACAATAACAAATGGCAATTTCAACCCCGCTAAGGGCTGCCACGTAATGATAACCTAGCCTCTTTTGCCGCGATGCAGCTTATCCTAGTCTCCCTAGCCCGTGACTCAAGTTAAACAAGCTGTCCACCAGACAGTTGGCCGGATGGGGAAGCATGGAAGATGGTGGTGAATTTGCTTGTCATTCTTGCTATAAAGTGGCCAGGATGGTATTGAAGGTTGATGGCATATCGGGCGATGAAACTTAGAGTTTTTTATATTTTTATAAGTTTTTTTTAGTTAACTAAGACCTATATATTAAATAATTTGATATATATTAAGCTATAGGAAAGACTGTATATACTTGTTTAGATATATATAGGTTAGTAAAAACTGTATATATTAGTAGAATCTATAGCGAAGACTTATAACTAAGAGCCTAAATTAGTATATAAAACAAGCGAGAAGGTTGGTGATGTTGGATAATGCAATTGAGGTGGATGGCTGGAATGTTTTAAAGGGGTGCTTGGGGGGATTTAATGGAAAATTATAGAAGAATGTGTTTTAAGTTAGATAGCATTTGAACTAGCGCATAGAGTTTAAAAAGATTGATGACTTCATCACTGTCCTCTAGCTGAAACTATAGTCGACAGGAAATGGTATCTATTTGCAGTAATCTCTCGCTTTCAATAGGTCCGTGAGGCGTTGTGATCACCCGTGGTACAGATAAAGTGCAGCCATCAACAAGCACAGAGCAGATAAAAACACTAATTAGATCAATAACTGCGCCTGATGCTTCCTTTATGATGTCTGTAACGTTTATCTGGATGATCTCCATCATGAGCTGATCCCCAAGTACCGGAGGCTCATCCATACATAAGAACGGTAGAACCTCCGGTCCTAGTCTCATAGCTCTCAACGTCAGGAAAGTTAAAAGTATCAAGATGATCAGTAAGTTCAATTTCACAATTACAGCCAGGATCAATGCGAATTCGCAAGGTTTGACAACCTACCATAGAGTGCTCCAAGATTAAGCACCAACAGCAGTTTGCCCAGGCGTTCCGATCGTAAGTTCGTTTACAGTAATTGGCACAAGATGGACCTGACCAGTCGCCGCGTCTCACGGTTCAACTTGATCTCCTGTAGGGACTTGGATTGTTGGAGATAACGATATGTATAAGAGACAAGGAGTACAACATAGTCATTTGAAGGCCAGATCCTTTAAGAATCGTGAATTTTTATATGATATGAGAGACTTGCGAGACTCAATCACGCAGACTTACATTGGCTGTGAGCGTCTGGTCTTGTCGCATAACAATCAGGGTTCCTCAATTGACCATGATGGATAGCAGACCGTGCTATTCGCCGGAGCCAAAGGCGTATGCAGGTGCTTTTATTTCTGTTGTAGGTAACGTTAAGATGCGGGCTAAGTTGTGGCGTATGTGTGGCTGATGGTATCTCAAGATGAGTTGTGACCTGATGTCAATGTAACACCGCGACTGCAATACGTACCATATACTATGAGCAAATAAATTGATTCCTAGTAGAGAGCTATAACAGACTATTGCGCTGAGAATTTATTTCCAAATAACTACGTCTTGAGATTTTCTGGCATTTTCATCGTCTTGGTAGCCAATTTGGACTCATCTTAAGATGGCCCTACCCCACACCTCTGTTTATTTTTAGTCAGTGCTGATAAGATAAGACTGAGAACGATCACGCACGGGGTAATCTTAAGATGGTGGCATTTCTCTACTTGTCTGTGAGGACTCCATCTTGTGTAAGACCATAAAAAATAATCCGCAACTGCTTGAAAGACAAATTGACCTCTCCTGTTGATTTGTGACTCTATGATCAATATTTATATAACTCCACAAAAGAAAATTCATCCTAGGAAGCAGCCATATCCATCATTACTCTCAATAAACTAGAACCTAATACGTTTATGACCTAATATTTACTTCTTACTAGGACACAAAACAACAATAAATGAACAAATACTCCAAGACCTTTGCACAATAACGCGCTGTGTATCTTGTATCGACTGCACTCACCTTTCAGCCGTGTTCTCAAGTTATGAGAGCATAGTAAGGGACCGTCATAATGTTTGCGTGCGTCACGTCATCATCTGAACTGTGCGTACGGCTCAATAGATTCCATTATGGCCTTGAACCTGCTCGAAGAACTCTGTTCCCCTCCCTCAACCTTTCAACCTTGTCCTCAACTTGCTTCAGCTCAGCATCGCAAGCGCGCTGCAAGTCCTTGCCTAGCGTGTCTCTTTCAAGCGCCAGCTCAGCAGCAAGCTCTTGAATCTCATGCTCCTTGGCCAAAAGGTTTTTAATAGCGTCGTGGTTCATACCGATGCCTTCATCGTCGATATTGGCTGCGACTGTCCGTAGTATGTACATTCTGCCGATGGGGTATGCTTGTAACTGCGAGAGAGCTGAGTCACTGACGCTGTCTATCGCTTCTTTCTTCTGCTTGAGCTGGTGATGCTTCTCTTCCGCTTCTTCCAAGTTCTGGCGGACTGTTCTGTGGGTTTGCAATAGCTTAACCATGGTGTCTTAAGCATCCAATCGCGCCATCAAGGTACCAGTCGTGCGGTTCAACCAGCGAGCAGCCTTCGCTGGAGGCTTTTCTGTCACGTTGCTGCCGCACTGCCGTTTCCTGCTTTGTGGCCGGGTGAGGGTCGTGCCAGGGTTGTCCTCAATAGCGGCCTCCTCTTTGACTGCCCGGGAACGAAGGCTGGGCTGAGATTGGAGAAGCTTACTAAAGGCTGGGAACCCAGAGGGGATATACATACCATAATGCTTCTGGGGAGCTGAGCGTCTAATAGTATAGCTATTAATTAAATGTAGAGACTATTATACTAATATAAGCTTTCTTAATTGTCCTTTATTTATATACTATTTAAGGCTGGAGAGAAAAGTAATCCTTATAGTATATTATCGAGCAAGCTATAGGAAGGACGATATATAGCTATTATTTAAAACCAAGCCCTTTAGCTTTTCATAGCTACTATGAGAAGATCCGGATATACAACGGCCAGTCTAATATATCTACTGCTTTCGTAACTCCTCATCCTCCTCATCCTCCTCCTCAAAGAGAGCTGGGGAGTTAGGAGCTACTCAGTCATTAGTCCATGTTATAGTACCTCTAGACCAAACAGTGTAACACATACGAGTTCCCTGACGCGGCCCAAGCTCGCGTTTTTCCAGAGCTTCCATTTGGATAACAGCAGGAGCGTTAATGGCTATGGCTGAGCTGATAAAGATAGTAAGGAGGGCGACAAATTTAGTTGCCTTCATTTTCAATATAGAAATATTGGGACTGGACTTGTGTATTTAGAAAATGTGTCAAGACGCTCTGGGGCTGCTGTAGTATTGAATGAAGGGCAGTCTGGGTGCCTATTTATGTTTGAATTTACTAGTAAAGTACAAAACGTACTTAATGCCAATTCTGGCAAAGGACGCGTTATCTTCTCCTCTCCCCCTCCACGGCCGCTTAGGCTTTGAGCTCGCATCATGAGATTTTAGCTGCTTATCTTAAGTACACTCCTCAATAACGGATCCTCTCCCAGTAATTAGTCCGTCACAGCAGGTTGCATATTTTGCTCTGCTGACACCCACATTTTCTTTTCTTTCGAGAGGGGGGGACTCTTGGCCTGTGAAACCGGAAGTGGAGACGCGCATCCGACAACAAATAGGGAAATGTTCGGTGGGCTACGGCGTACAATTATCTAAGACAAGCGGCAGCCAAGGCTACAGGGGAGTAGAAAAGGGTTAAACTTTGGAATGGTTCCAGCTGAAAACTTAGTGACAAACATGGTGCATATGCAACGCAATGTCTCGAAGCTGCGCAGCTAGGTACACTGACCGTGAGTTTAGACATTTACGATGCGATACCATGAGGCGCAGTCCAGACTTCGCTGAATTACAAGAAAAGACTAGTCCTGTAGTACAGCATGCGCACGGATGCTAGATTGCCGCCTGGCCAACCAATCACTTATCAGTCTCGGAAAAGAGGCACTTTGAGAAGCTTAGCAATGAGTAAGGGGAAGTATCTGGTACATGAATTTCTAGCGCAGGTTTACCGACAAAGCTTGGGCAAGAAACCCTTGATAAGCATGTGGAATTCCTGGAAGCGCACCTGTTTCATTCTGCCCTGTCATCTTTCTTAGGGTTGACCGATCCCGACGCAGTTTCCGCTCAATAGGACTGAGTAGCTGCTTTTCGATTTCTATCACGAGCGAATTCTTATAGCTCCGCGACAAACCTACTTCTCCCTATCGTCCCATTTGAATTCTGGCTACTATGGAATATCTCATGGAACATCCACAGACTTGGGATGCTTCTGCTATTTATCAAACCCCTCTATGCGAGAGGCATGATGACGATGTTTATGTCACCCAAGTCGGCTTATACGCAAATCTCATCATGGCAGTCCTTAAAGGAGTCTGCGGATTTATGCTCAAATCCAAGACCATGATGGCTGATTCCATCCACAGTACCACAGATCTCTTGTCAGATATCATGGCACTTGTGACTGTTAAATGGAGTCTGAGGCCAGCTACTCCGCAGTTCCCTTATGGATATGGAAAGATTGAAAGCTTGGGCGCCCTGGGGATGTCCGCCACACTCCTTCTTGGAGGCACTACAATGGGTTACCGTAGTCTCTGTGGCCTCGCTGCACGATTGCTTCCAGCTTCTTTGTTTCATGCCCCCAAGCAGGTTTCTGTGCGCATGGGCAACTTTGATCGTCCGTCTTTCGCCGACGAGACCATGTCCAGTATGTTGGTACTCGGACTCTCTTTAACAACAGTGGCAATTAAAGAGTGGCTTTATCGAGAAAGTAAGTCCAAACGAATGTTTCGACTATTTGAAAGAGCCAGCAGCCTACTTACATCATTCATGTAGCAAGAAGAATTGCTCGAGAGCGGAAGTCAGTCGTCCTGGCATCAAATGCCATCCATCATCGCATCGATAGTTTGACAGAGATTGTAATAATAGCAGTAGTTCTCGGAGTTAGAGTAATGCAAGACACAGCCTGGCTAGACCTTGTTGGAGGGCTATGTATTTCTCTAATGGCGGTACAACCTGCAGCTGAATTGTCTATCTCAGCATTATACGAGCTCGCTGACCGAAGTATTGGCAACGAGATGAGAGAGTCAATTTCAGATCTTGTACGCGAAGTTCTGGGAGAACCTGCCTACAAAGGAGCTATTGACGTGGCCAGTCTCACATGCATCAAGTCAGGCCGTCTATTAATTGTCGATGTTGGAATTACAGTTCCAGGACATTGGCTTGTTGAGGATATGACTTATCTGGAGCAGAAGATCAGGATTCGAGTCGAAACGGGGATAAAATCAATGTGCAATATTCGTTTCCATATGGTATCAGCCGTCAATAGTTGACGGCTGATCTCAAAGCTTACAAGAGATACAATGGAAGTTCATGAAAGGTACTAGCACATCATTAATATTCGCGAATGGATCATAGTCAAGACTGTTCTCGTGATTGAATAGATAGACGGTGAGCAATCTATGTGGCATTAAACTATCGGGAATGAAAATTTTCTGGAAGTCGTTTCCCAGATGTGGTTTCATAGAGGGCTACAATGTGACGTCGAATTTATATGTAACCTTCTATCTCTCAAACCTTACAATTTCTATCGAGATTACTGCTCTTTCCCAAGCAACACATCTACAATCATCTTGGACAAGCGCACGCAAGGCCCATCAACCGTATGTGTTACGAAGTGAGAAATAAACAGGGAGATTGGCAACATAATGGCTTGGACAACTAAAAAGGCTCCCTCCATGCCAAACGGCCCGCTCATGGTAATTGGCAGGAATCCTGCCCATGAGTCGAATCTTGTGTGGAGCATTCTGCGATCCCCATATGGCCAGGAAACGCATGCATATAGCGAGTCCCCAAAGGTACGTAGGACAGGTCCATGTATAAGATAGAGACTGTATGAGTTACGTCCCAAATATTGAAAGATGGAAGACTGCAGAGGCCTTTTCAGCCAAGTATGTCTCACCAGTGGCACAAACAGGACTGAAGCACAGAAGAGCGGAACCCATTTAGGGTCACAAGTAACTAAACTTGGGAGAGGTGATAAAAAAGACCATCCTGGGTTCATACGAAAGCACTTTGAAGAAAGACAGGTCGGTACGCCGGCCATGTACAAGCCAAAACTGGACAAAAGAAATTTGAGCAAGACACTGGTCCAGGCTTTGCCTTGCATCATGGATGTCACATAACCACCAAACACGATTTCCAAGTCGCGTATGGACAAGCCAGCGATGAAGAAGGCGCAGAACCATCCATCAGTGACTAGGAAGAGGAAATAAACGACCAGCAACATGTAGGACACTAATCGGTAGTGTATTGTTGACCGAGAAAGAACAGTGAGGCAAGTATACATGGCGAGTGAGCCCTTGAACTCGATGGCTACGGACCACAGGTGATCGTTATAACTGGGCCACGGCGAAGTGGTTCGGTCGAAGATGAAGCTGAAGTTTAGAACCTCGTGCATCCATCGTCTGAACTCTAGACTGTACGCTGCCTGAGTGCTATGCCCAGAAGCGTGGAGGCCGAAGATATATAGCAAGCTCCTACATACATCGTTTGTCAGCAAAACCCTGCATGCATAGGCGTGGAATTATCTTACATGTACGTGAAGGTCGTGACGAATACAGGTATGAACAACCTGAACCATCTTCGAAAGATAGCCAAAGAGATGTAGCACGCCAGCCTTCCCTGGTTCTCAATCGAAGACGTCGTTCGTGGGCAATTAATGATCGTCAATGGCTTTACAGACAACACATAGCCTGATAAGACAAAGAAAACGGCGGTTGCAAAGTGGCCGCCGTTGAAGACGAGACGTATAAACGGTAGGGTAATAAAGTGATGGCGCTGCCTATAACCGAAGGCTCGCTCAATAGTATCATAGGCGGCGTTATGGGCCCAGAGCTCATGGTGGTGTATATAGACCAGGAGTGATGCGACTCCCCGAAGACCCTGAAGATGAGACGTATCCAGCGACATTTGAGGCCTGTCGATGGTCGATTGATGGTTGTTTGGCAACCTCACAAGGGTTTGTGAGCCTGTCTTGGAACGCTTGGTACGTTTCGCCTTAGACATCCTGCTGGGTGTCTGTAATGCATGAACAAGAACAAACCCATAGACAGCAGATTAGTCAAAGTAACAACTGTTAGAAATGATCCTAGTCAGGTGCCAAGATACTGAATGTCTACGACACAGCGTCAATAATACCTTCGCTGGGTAAGCGCCAAGCCTGGTGGATTGAGCCTATTCACACCCTATGATAAGGAGTCTAGATCCGGGGTGAATAGAATACGCCGATGCGAGGGTTCCAAATGAGACTCACGTCGTCTAGTCACCTGCCCCCATACGCTTGATGCAATCCATCACATCACATCACATCACATCACAACGCATCTGCATAAACATTACCTAAAATGGATAGTGCGTCTCTGCTATCGTCCATGACCAAGAAAGGAAGATCAACAAACATGATTGAGGAATAAGTTTAAACTAACGGATTTCAGCCCATATGTCTCAACGTTGGTGGCCAGAACCGGATCAGACCAGACACACTTTGGAGCTAGTGAAACCCGTCACATTTATTCAACGAATTAGAAGTTAGAACGTGGCGGTAAGTCCGTCTCGTACTTTACAGCAATAGTCATACACCATGCAGTTAACCTATTACTTAGTTAATGCCAAGACCAGGCAGGTAGGTAATAAAAGGTAGGTCTTATATATATTAAGTAAAGAGTTAATATAAAGAGGTCTATAATATTCTAATTAACTAAAAATCTTTAAAGTAAAGTATATATTTATTAAATAATTTCTTAATATATCCTTATTATTAATTATTTCTTTTTTTATTAACCTCTTATATTTTCTAATTAAGGTAATAGAATTTATTATTAATATATTATAGATATATTAAATTTTCTCTTTAGATTTTTTCTTTTAATTTATTAACTATTTTTTATTTTAATATTTTAACTTTAATTAATAAATTATTAATTTATTAATTATACTTTATTAAGCCTAAAGATCTATTTATAACTATCTTGCCTATATTAAATATACTACTAGCTTTAATAGTAATAATAAGTATTAAGAAAATAATATTCTATTTAATTATAATATAAATTCTTTTAATATATATTTAATATATTAATTAACTTTAACTTTAGTTAATTAATATTATAATTCTCCTTTAGGTTAAGATTTTCTATTATATATCTTTAATTAATAGCAATAAAGGTCTTTATATTTTAATAAGTTTATTTTAAATAAAAAATTAATAATATATTAATTAATATACCTAAAACTTTATTTAGTGCCTTTAAAACCTAAAGAAGTATATTATTAATATCTATATCTTTTATATTTTTAATACTATCTATAAAGCTATTAATGCTTTTAACCTTATTGCTATAAAGTATAAGTTTATATAATATATAATTAATATATTAATTAACCTTTTTTTAGAATTCTATATAACCTATCTTGCCTTTATAAAGGATCTAGCTAATAGTAATAATAACTAAAAATTTCTTAAAGTATATTTAACTTTAGTTAAAGATAATTTAGTAATAAGTTAACTTAATATATATTTAATATATTAACTAACTTTAACTCTAGCCTGTAGGTGCTAATAATAATAAGGTAAATAAGGCCTATATTATTAATATATTTATTAACTTTCCTTACTATAAAACTAATAAAAAAGGCTACTATAAAGGTAATATAAGTTTACTTAATATATATTTAATGTATTAATTAACTTAAACTTTAGCCTTATTTCCTTAAGATAAAAAAGGCCTTTAGTCTTCATATAAAAAAGAAATATACTTAATGCATTAAGTATTAAGAATAAGGTAAGTTTTATTAATATATTATTAATATATTAACTAACCTTAAGATAGCCTGCCTTATTAAAGAGCTAAACCTGTTCTGTTAGGTTTAAATATATTATATTAATGTATTTAATAAATAGTAAGAATAAGAGGATAAAAATAAAGATAAAGGTAAGGATAAAGATAAAGATAAAAATAAAAAAAAGTAATTTAATATATTATATATATATTAAGATTAAATATCTTTATAAGATATTATTTTATTAAATAAAAAGTTATTAAAGTTATTATAATACTTTCTTAATATATTAATCCTTAAAATTCTATTTAAATTAATTTAATATTTTTCTTAAAAGAAATATTATATAATATTTATTAAGTATTTCTATATTATTTATTAGAAATATAATATTATTTAATTTTATTTAATTTTATATATTTATTAAGTATTAAATTTAATAAATATATTTATATATTATTATTTAAGTATTTATATAAAAAGTTAAAAGCTTAATAGCCTTATTAGGCTTATAATAATAAAAAGATTTATATATAATTATAAAATTTAAATAATTTATATAATTTATATATTATTAAAAATATAAATTAATTTAATTTTATATAAATAATTTTACTAAAGTATAATATATTCTTAATATATTCTTAATATATTAACTTCTATACTTTATTTTTATTTTATATAACTTAAGTTTTACTTTAGCTTTTTAAGCTTTTACTTTAGCCTTTTAAGTTTTTACTTTAGCCTTTTATATTATAGCTTTTTCCCTTTATAGTTATATATTAAGCTCTAGTTATATTATACTTTTAAGAGCTTTATTAACGCTTTATAGGGTTAAAGAGTGCTAAAATATATTACCTTCCCTATTTTATTATTAATATATTATTAATATATTTATAATTTATTATATATTAAGGAATATAAAAAGGCCTTAAGGTTAGTATATATAATATCTTAAGAATATTAAATAAATTAACTAATTTTACTTAATTTATATTAAGTAATCTATCTTATAACTGCTATTAGCTATAAGGAGATCTTAAATAACTTAAGTTTCTATATAACTTTATATATAATATATTAATAACCTATTAATAATATAATAAAAAAATCTTATATTTTCTTTTAATATTATCTTTTTATATTTAGTTTTATGCTAATATATTTTAATAGCTTAAGTTAATACCTAATTAATTAGTAATTTAAAGCTAAAAATCCTTATTAAAATTAAAATATAATATTCTATAGATTTAATTAATATTATATAGATAATAGATTAATAATATATTATATCTTTATAAAATTTATAAGTATTATTTTTTATTTAAAAGTATTATATAAAGCTTAATATATTTACTTAATATAATTTATATATTACTTTAAGTTATAGCATTAAAAGTAAGTTATTAAAGAGTATATATTATAAATACTAGCAGTAATAACTAGTAATTCCTTATATAGGACTTAATTATAGATATCTAAATAATCTATAAATAATATATTAATAATATATAGCTAATAAATATTAATACTTACCTATTTTTAAAGCATTATAAATCTAATTATAGATTATAAAGCTCTTTATAGTTATTAGGGATATTATAGCTATATATATAGACCTATAGCTTCTCTCCTAATTGCCTAACTTATTATAAGTCTAGCCTAAATATAATATATTAATAATATATTATTAATATATAATATAAATACTTACTAATACTATACTTAAAATACACTTAATAAAGGTATATATAGTGCTATATATACCATTTTTAGGTTTTACTATATAGATTAATATATAAAGTAAGGTATTAACTTAGACCTATAAGAAGTTATTAATGTATTACTAATATATAGTTAATATATACTACTTATATATATAAAATCTTAATTAACGGTAACTCCCTATAGGCCTGGGCTATAAATATACTGCTACTTAATATTAATATTAAATTTCTCTTATAATTAAGTAAAAATAATATTAAATATAAAGTAATATATAGTAATATCTTTACTATATATAATAATATAGAGAAAAGGAATACCTATATAATATATTAGTAATATATTAATAATAAATTAATTAAGTTTATTTATATTATTATCTTTATTATAGTAAGCCTAAATAACTTTATATAGTTTAGGCTTAGCTAAATACTTAAAATTTATATTAATTTAAAATAAATTAAGGGTCTTAAAAAGCCTTATTTAAGTATAATAAAAGAGAATAATAAAAAGGTTCTTTTTATTATTAAACTATAATTAAATATATTATAGATTATTAATATATTAATAATATATTTATAATATATTACTTATTGCCTTTAAATTTTATTAATAATATATAAGGTACTTATATTAAGTATTAAGTATTAATATACCTAATAGGAAATAAATAACTTAATATTATTTAAGAAAATAAAGAAGTTAGCTTTTATTAATAAGGCTTAAGTGAATTTTACCTAAAATATTTATATTTTAATTTTAAAAAAGGCTTTAAATTAAATTTAAATTTAATTAAGTTTTTATTAATATATTAATAATATATTAGTAATATATAAATAATATATTATAAATATATATATACTAATATTTTATAAGGATTATATAGGTTCTTTTAGTATTTATAATAGCTTATAAAGAATATCCTTTAGTAGGTTAGATAGTAGTAAAGAGAGGTAAGAATATATTCTATATAATGTAATTATTATAAAAGGAGAACTAGCCCTTATAGGTAAAAAGATATAAAACTAAATATTATAAGGAAATTAAATAATTTATCTTTAGCCTTTACTTATATATATAATTCCTATTATATATTAATAAGCCATTAATTATATATTATATATAAATTACTATATATCTTTTTCCTATAATCTATTCTATTAATTATAAAATAGGTCTCTTTATTTAATAGTAAAATAGGCTCTTTAGAGTTATTAAAAGCTCTTTTAATAATTAAAATAGCTTCTAAAAGATAAAAAAAAACTGGCTTAAAGTAGTAGTAATTTATATACTAATAATTTAAGTATTATATATAATAGAGATATCTACT